GTGACTCACACCCATACGTTTCATTTGGAACTATTCAATACTGATTAGATAATACTGACGGTGAGCGCTTTCAGCAGCGTGGCCTGTTTTTAGCTGCCACGCTGGCCTGGTAGTGGTTGAAGGCGAAGCGGCAGGCGGGAGGGAAGCGTTGATGTGGGTGGCTTCGCAGAGCCTTTGACTGTAGCTGGCCGCCGAATAATGATGTCTGTTGCGTAACCGTCACTGAGTGTAGACTGGAGAGGTTGTTTTTTTTTTTGTTGAAACAGGAGGGTCGAGGTGATGTAATGTCTGTCTGAGCTGAAGGGTCATATCAAAGAGCTGCCACTAGGAGGAGAGAGTGGGCCTGAACTGGAAGAATGTGAGGATGAGAAGGATGATGGGCCGCATGTCTGCCAGAGGCTTTACACTGTAAAAAAATCTACATCTCTGTTAGTCATTTAGTCCCAGTTATGAGTCGTATTATAAATATCCCTTTGCTTTTAGTTTGGTACAAGGCATGTGTGGGTTTGCTGTTCCACAATCAGCTGCTGTTGGATTAAACCTCAATTACTCCCAGTTTGAGTCCTAAATGTCTAATTATTTAGTACAAATCACCTCGTTTCCACAGTTTCACTGAAATGGGCACACATCATTAAAGAAGATTTGAAAAAATACATCTCTATCAGAAACACTGACTTTTACCACCCGTTTTTAGAAAGTTTGATTGGTAGCATTCAGTTACAAACACAAAAGAGCTGGATTAGATGGAGCATGTTTTCTCAAGTATGATATTCTGTAGTTTTGAGGTTCTATATACTTATAGAACTTTTAGGGCTCTGGCATTTTATAGTTCTAGTCAGACCTTTTGTTTTTTACAAAAAATGTATTTCAGTTGGATTTTCAGCCAAATGTGACCCAGCGACCACCATTCTGCCTCAGACGTAACCCGAGGACCACTGTTGTGGGTTACGTGCGTTACAGATGGGTGCTGTTTGAATCCTGAAAGTCTCCATGGCTTTTATAAATGTTATTTATTTGCATGAATTGGATTATTTGCAAATCTGTTTAAAAAACTCAATTAAAAGATTGCTTTAGTGGAGCTACATTATTGAACACATGGTCAGGCAACCTGCAATTGCTTCATGGACCACCAGGGGGCCGCGGACCACTGGTTGAAAACCCCTAATGTACACTGTTTCAAAGTTAGTTACAGTTATTGGTTTATTTTCAGATTCAGCTTTTACAGTCCACATGTGCTGTGGCTGTTGCTGGGTAAAGCTCTTTTGAGGAGCTCTGAGAAACAGCCTTGTGATGACTTAAGACTTCATTGAGAGGATCAGAGGCTCCTCTCGACCCATAAAAGAGCAATTGATCCTTGACATAATCCAAAAAGCCTGTTTGGTTTGTCATTGTTTTTTGGCCTCATACAGTATTTAGTGGATTTTCCTGGAATGTGGGCAGTGCAGTGGTTAGCACAAGAAGGTCCCGGCTCGAACTGACTGGGTCCTTTCTGTGTGGAGTTTACATGTTCTTCTCATGCCTACGTGGGTTTCCTCCACAGAGACCTGCAGGTCAGGGTGACTGGTGACTCCAAATTGCCAGGACATGTAAATGCTTGGCTGTCTTTATGTGACAGACTGGTGACCTGTCCAGGGTGTACCCTGCCTCTCGCCCAGCTTCAGCTGGGATCGGCATAATTGACTGCTCAGTATTTAAATCACCAGTCAGCGTTTACTCAAAGCTAGATTGTCAACACAGTTCTGTTAGTACACTCCAGCCTGCTGACCTGCTCTCTGCCTGCGGCTGACCTGTTTCCCTGGACGCTGACCTTGCCTGCCTTCCTGTGTATGAACTAGCATACTCACAGCCTGGTTAGTAGCCTGTTCCATGTCTGCTCTGGTTGCCTTGATTTATTACTTACCTGGCCCAGTGCCGTCGGTGTCCTGCACCTCGCCCCTGCCTGCTCCGAACAGGTTGCTTGCACTACTCTGTCGAGGAGAGAGTGTATACTTACCTATCTCTTACAGTATTACTCCTGTTTCTGTTGAACTGCTGGATTTATACCTGTGTTCCAGCCAAGAGTATACTTACCTATAAGGCCTCTGTAAAGTATTTGCCAGTGTTCCTGCCAGTTAACCCGAGTACTCCTGTTTGCCCACCTCTTATTAACAATATATGTTTACCTGAGTATGTTATGTGTCATATCTCCCTGAGCCCGCTTAATGACCTGTATTTGTAGTTACAGTATTTAAGTCGGCCTTTTTTGCATTTGAATACTAAACCAGAGTCAGCCATGTTACCCGCCATATCAACTTCTTTTGCTATACTTAACCTTTGCCTGCCTCTGGATTCTGTTAGCCTGTACACAGGTTATTATTATTAAAGCTGTGTACTCTTCAGCACAATCCCTGGTCTGAAATCATCATAATAATGGTATGTTTTTCCACTGTAGTATTATTATGTAAAGGATTTTGCTATGTCTTCCAACACTGACACAGCTTTAGATAATGATTACCAACAGTGTGACTTTAGGGGATTATTTCCACTTTATTTTGAATAATTGTTTCCATAACACTTTAAACCCTTATATAAAGTGGTATAAATAGTTTTTTGTGGCTATCCTTCAGCACCAATTTTTAAAAAAACCATTTGGTCTAGAAAGACTGAACTTGTAGTTTTAACCCTTGACAGGATTCATTTCTGTTGTCGTACCTTCAGAGCAGTTTTCACATGGTAAGTTTTGTTATTTCGGTGTAGCACACCAAATATCACTGCAGTGATTTCCCCCCATCCAATCACTTATAATAATGCTGCTGCTAGATTCAAACCAGCAAAGGGCAACAATATCAGATTTTTTTTTAAATCCACCTTAATGGATTTTCAAGTGGTTTCATTAGTAAAATGTTGGAAAAACAAAAAAAAAGTACTTCAGTGAAAACACAGACCAGCAATAATTTAATACTTACTCAAAACCAGAAGAAAGAAGTATTAGATTTTTATGATGTGTTTTTTATTGCGGAAGGCCACTGGGTTTACTGGCCTCAAGGTTCAAGTAGAATCTTTTGGTTAATATTATGTATCATCATTAACATGTGTAAATATCCTGTGTTCTAACATGTTTTTCCAAGTGATAAACATGAGTAATAGAAGTTGTCGAAATCGCCTCCCGTGATGCCTCCTTTGTTCTGGTGAGTGACAAGGTTATTTACGAGGTTCAGAGTCGACGTGGTGTCTTTGTGCGGAGTTGCCCTGGGTGGCAGAAGCCAGCAGATGGATATGTGATCAACTGAACATGAGTGATTTTCCCTCTTCATCACACGCAGAGACTTTGCCTGCGCTGGCTGATGAATCACTTCATAGATGTGACAAATATATCGGCCTCAAACCCTTGAGGAGAAGTAATGGTCAGAGAAATGAGCCAGTGTGTGGAGCTCTTCACATAGGCTGGCTGAGACCAGGCCTTTTTGTCATTTTTGTCCCTTTGGCTGCTCACTTTAAATTTGAATTAGACTCCAAAAGAGGTATTATGTGGGATTCAGAAGGTATGGTTTAAACTGGAGCAGAGCATGATGGAATAATAACAACTGTGGCACTTGGCTTCACCATGTTTCCCTTTGGGGATGATTCATTTGACCCAGTCTAATTAGTTTGTTATTGCACTTTAACTGTTCAAAGAGTGTAACATTACTGCTTCATAAATAGTAGGTGAATGTGAGTTTGGTGATGTTTGTGTTTTTCTTTGATGCACGGACCTCGAGGCCCAAGAAACCCAATTAAAAACTTCAGTAAAACAAAAAAAGCATGACTAGGAATGTCAAACGAAAGCTGTTTATGCAAAGGTTTGAAAACCGGACAGTTGTTGCCAGTGCCTCCATACAAGCCTCCTGGATGGATTGAGTATGGATTTGGTTTGAATGTCCAGGAGAGAATTAATTCATTTGTCCATTTTCACTTGTAAATGTAACGTAATTTAGGTTATACGTGCAAAGTTGAAAAGTAACAGTCCTGAGAGAAGATGAGCATGTCTCTTAATTATTTCGCTGCTCCCTGTACTTTATTTTAATTGTTAAAATAGGTCCTTTTTTTTACTGACACTGAAGAGGCGGAACACACTCAAATGAAAGTGCAGCAATTTAAATCCATCAGCCTGAAACGAAAGCCGCTTTTCTGAACACCTGAAAACATTCTCAACGTTGCTTCTGCCAGCAGCATTAGAATAGGAGCTGCTCCATTAACGATGTCACCATATTTTATAATAGTGTAGCTACAGTAGCAGCGACTTCCTGTAGCTGCACACAATGCATCCTGGAGGGGGGGCCTGGGGATATATCTTCATGCTTGTCTGAATTACAGTAGGAAAAACAAAAGGTTAATCACATTGGGAGACTCCGCTCTGCCTCTGACCACCCAGTGTCCCTTTGTTTCTCCCTGTGTGTTTCAATTCAAGCTGCTTTATTGGCATGAATGTTGGATGAACAGGGGGAGAAGCACCTTCCAAAGCACCTAGAGAAACAATACAAATGACTCCTTTTCTGCCCCTGTAGTTTCTCTTTGTGCCTTTCTTGCCACCCCAGTTTCTGTCACCCTCAATTTACATCCATAACAACAATACAGTATGCATAGCAATCACCATACGTCGAGTTAAGATGTGCATGTATCATAAACTAAGCTCCTGGAAATGCCTTCGTTCTTCGGAGGATGCCCATCAGAGCATCCCCTTGTTGATGACCTTGTTGAAGTCCTTTCATCCCTGACCCCTTTCTCTTCATTTCCCAGCATGCTTAAATGCTGGTGGGCACATTACATTAAGATTCAAGAGGTTATCTTGCAGCGGTGATGGGGATTGCAACAGCCTAAAGGAAGGCCGCAGGTTTAATCCACGTACAGCTGAACTTTAATGAGCGCAAGTCTCGTTCTCCCTCTGTCTGAAAAACGACACCTAGCCACCATGGAAAATAGATTGTGGATGTCTTTTTGTGCAGCTTCTTAACTGTGTGTATGTGTGTATGTGTTTGTTACAGGGTGGTGGGGCCGGCTGTGACCTTCAAAGTGAGCCAGAACACTCAGAATGTCAGCACTGCAGATGTGGCCAAAGTGGCTGGTAGGTTCTCCTTGGCTGAGTAATGTTGTCTTTCTACTGACAGAGGAAAAGACAGGCCATTATCATTGGCTCGCTGCTGCACCTGAGGCCCCAGATGAGCATGTTTCAAAACTCTCTGCTAAAATATGTGTTTTTTTTTCTTCTCCTGAGTGTCCTGCCATACCTACACTGGCACTTTATAGCAGGGTTTTCTATTCCTCTGTGGTCCTTTTGGTTTAGTTTGGCTAAGTATTTGCTATTGAAGCAAGCAGGGCTTCAGTCATGTTTGGCTCCACTGTGGAAATTCATTGGAAAGTTAGATGTGTGTCCAAATAACAGACATGAGGAATTTGTTTTGTTTGGGAAATGAGTGTGTTGTTTTTATTCACAAACACGCACAATGTGACCTCTCCTGATCTGTGTGAGTTGTGCCTAAATTCAGTTGATAACTTCTGGGAAAACTCGGTAGCTATCCAGTCACCAGACTGACTTAAGTAGACAGCCAGCTGCATAAAACAGGGACATGAACTGTTTTGGAAAGTACCTAAAATTATGGGGAAAATAGTTGATCTTCATAGGTGACAATCCTGAGCCAGTAGGTTTAACCTAAAGGTCTGACCACAGAACCCACCGCATTTCATTATCACATCAAGCTGTGTTTCACTTGCTAGATATCCTGGTTTCCAGACTGAGGCTGCATTTGCGATGAGCCTGCATGGGGTTCTCTGCTTAATTGGAGAATGGTGTGGGTGGCTATGGCTCACGAGGTAGGGCAGTCGTCTCCTGACCAGTTGGTGGTTCGACTCCCGGTCTCCCCGCATGCCTAAGTGTCCCTGAGCAAGACACTGAACCCCGAATTGCTCCCGGTGGCTTGACTAGCGCCGGTGCGTGGCAGCCTGTTGTCATCGGTGTGTGAATGTTGTGTGTGAATGGTGTATGATCTTCTGTAAAGCGCTTTGGCCAGTGCAACACACTGTGAGAAAGCGCTATATAAAATACAGTCCATTTACCATTGGTAATAAAAATGAGGAAGCTTAAGGAATATGAAGCCACAGTCACAGACCACAATCCATGTTAGGCCAAATTACTTAAACAGCCAAAGTCATCTCATGTCCAAACGTGTATACGCCCTGGTCCTGGTTTTAAGGAACCCAAATATTCTTGCAACGTGTGGCATGTAAACATACTATCAGTGTTTTTGTTCATTGCTACTGTGTGCGCAGGTGCAGCTTCAACTTTACTAAACTAGTTGAAGAAAAAAAGATGATAAATGCAAAGTGTGACACTGTAATGTGACGATACATTGCTCTCATCTTCCATTCAAGCTAAAACCCATGAAATGGTAAATGTCTGTTCCTTGTAAATATCTTAATGGGATTATACTCAGGAAATGCTCAAAACCAGGACAGAGATTCTGTCCACCACCTTTTTCTGTCTGAAGAAAGTGAAGGCAGCTCCTCGGTGATTCTGTTTCAATACCCTCCAAATCAAAATGACTCAGTCCTGCCTGTTCTGTGACATGGAGAGGGACTGTAATAATCTTAGAGAGTGCAATCCAGCAGCAAAGACATTGTGAAGGTGTGTGGGAGTGTGTGTGTGTGTGTGTGTGTGTGTGTGTGCGTGTACAGGACTACAGTGTGACTCATGGTAATGAGGTGAGGGTGTTGATGAAGTGGGGAATAAAGAGAGGAGGAATGCTTGCCATTAGCCAAGCTGTCAGTCGAGAGAGAGGGAACTTTCCTGATATTCCCTGGTTACAATTCGAGATGAACACACCGTGCACACACACATGCACAAAAGCACCTGCGCTGGGAAATCGGCCCTGTCAAAATAATGTACATGTGTAGCTCACTGTCTATTTTTTCCCAGTCCCTGCTTGGTAATTGCACACACACACTTGCTTTTTGTCCCCACAATATATATATATATATTTATATTTATACGCAAACACTATGTGGTGATTATGCAACAGCTTCTCTCCTGTTTTAAGTGCTGCTGTTGCCGTTCTCCGCCTGCTGCTCCCGCCTGGCTCTGCAGGGTCACGAATGAGCTTCGATTGTTATTAATGCAAACATTGGACAGAACATGCTTGAAATGAAATATAGCGTCCTCTCAGCTAAAGTGCAATAGTGTGGGCGGGCCATCTTTAAAGTGTCATTTGTCATATTCAACTAGAATATCAATCCATCCCAGAGCGTACATTATCCCCCCTGGCTGGGGTTCATAGTGCTTTTCTGAGACATTAAACTTGACACAGCCATTGTAATGACGCCGTTTTGTCATCATTTCTTCCCGTTCAGCAGTGGACGGATTCAGATTGGACGGATACCTCTTCTGTCACAAGCTTGTGTGTTTGGGTGGAACAAATTTGGCAGCAATGATGTTAAAAATGATTCAGTTTGATCTGATTTCATCTCTGTGACCATGTCAGTTTGTCCCAGAGAAATATTTAAGCAAGGAATTATGGCGGAAGAAGACGATAGTTTAATGCAGTCATTTATCACTCAGGCCGCTCCTGACTTACATTGCCTTATATTAAGATATGTTTCTAATATTCAGGAAATTAGTCATAAGAAAATCGAAATGGACAACTGAAGGTATAGACAGGAAGTTCAAAATATTTTATGCAGCTTGAGAATTTGAAATGAAAAGCTGAGAATATTGAAAGAAATGGAGAATGAAGCGAAGCGGCATCGTGGTACTGGCATCATTTTCAGATAGACAGCAGGCTAATGCCAGGAAGTTACCGCGCATTTACTCAAACGTCAGAGGCAGCAATTAAAAGGGAACATTTTAGAGCCTTTTATGGAGATAAATGTCATTAGATTTTTATCATGTTCAAAAAAAAAATCAGAAAAGCAACAGAGAACAGCAAACAAACACTGGGCAAGTTAATGTGGCCGGAGCAGGGCTACCTGCAGAAAGGTACAAGAAGAGAGAGAGGACACACTACGGGGGAGAGGAGACACACGGTTAGTGACATGTAATGGTGGCATATAGAGGGGATAGTACTTGTTTATGTCCAGAAATAGCAAAATTTGTAAGCGCACAGGAGTCCAGTTGAAACCTCATCGTCTTTCTCTCTAATGCCAGATCGATTCTGACCCCGGCCTCTTGGTGCCAAAAGGTCCGATTAATGCAGCCAGGCCAGCCAGGGCCGGCTTTGCATTTTAAGGAGCCACGTAACCATTTCTGTCACGTGCGTCCACCCATTGTGAGGGACTCCGGGGCCACCAGGGGCCACTGTCAAATGTGGGGGTGGATGTCAAGATGGTGGGCAGCGAGGTGGCGACCCTCATTGTCTGGGCGAGGGTGGGCGGGGACCCAGAGGCTACTTCCAGCAGTGCGTCACGGCCGTGAGAACGGGACCCTGTGAATAGGCCAGGGGTCAGGGTCAGGACAGCGGGCAGCTCAATTAGCACTTAAAGCAGGAAGAGCGCAGCTGAGCCAGTCCTGTCCCTGCACCGTCTGTTCAGTTGACTTCTACTTTTTTATCCCACCAGCACTTGTGTTTGCATACAAGCTAATCACACCCCACAGTGTGAAGATAGTAGCTCACACATGAGCAAAATCTGTCCACTCTGGGGACCGTTGGGACAGTCGCTGCTGCTAATGGTCAGTTTCAGACTCCTCCGTCTTCCCTCCCATCACAGGCTTTTCTCGAGGTGAACTGACCCCTCATTGTTCTCGGCAGACAATGGCTGGCTGCTCGCTCAGCTGATGTCACTTCTGAGGTTTGATTTGTGTGTTGGCGTGTAAATAATTTCCTGGCAGAGAGGTCGCTGTCACTTTAATAAGTTAACAAGACATTGTCTCCCTGGAAAACCAGTGAATGCTTAGTTTACATGCTAATTAATGAAATATCCCTATACAGAAGTGGTGGCAAATTCTGATCATTCCTATCTGATTCACATATCGGTCAAAAAAGGAATTTGTTTTTGTAGTCAGTGTACCTTTGCTGTTAAGGACATGTATTTTACAACGGTGTGAATCAGATGCTGTGGCCTCAGTCACCAGGTCTCGACCCAGTGGAGGATGTTGGATGTCTCAGTGTCTCCACCACCATCATCAAAACACCACGTGAGTGAACATCTGTTGGAAGAACGGTGTTCATCCCTCCAGGAGAGGTCAGAGACTTGGGGAGTCAACGCCAAGCTGTTCTGGTGGCACGTGGTGGCCCAGCACCTCACTGAGGCTCTGTGTTTTCTTCTGTCACCTGTCTGTATGTCCCTGTGACTCTGTAAAGATCATGACTCATTAGAATTGGTTTATTACTTTTTAATCTGTAAAATCTCTCAAGCCTAAATTCTTAGTTCTTTATATGCACGTATTAGTCTGATAGAGAAGGTAGTACTACTGGAGTAGTAACAACTGATCACATCTTGTGCCTGTGTTTCCACTGATCCCGATGGGAAGCAGGTTAATTCTTCATGCTCTCTGAAGCAAAAAGACAAGATTTGAGTTTTTCATTGGGTTTCCTTATGGCAGTGTAGAGGCCATTCAGTAAGAAGTGTGTTCAGTGGCTGCCCTGACGACTGAGTGGAGGAAAGGTTGAAGTTGCTCTTACAAAGGTATCAGTAGCGTCTGGGCCTTTTCTGTCCTTCCCTCTACTTTTTGTCTCTGCGTTTTCTTCCATCTGAGTGAATTAGCATAGATTTTGTATGCTGACAGGACTGACCTTCGCTGCAGCTAAACACTTCTCAAAATGCCAAATGTAATTACTGAGCTCTTTAGGTCAAAGTAATGTGTTTCATCTACCTCACTTCACACTGTTATTGACGTGCACACCCTCGGACTTCAGACTGCAGTGGAGCCCTGCTTCTTCCCTCTGGCAGCATCGGCTCCCTGAATGTGTTTGTGTGTCATAAGAAAGCGAGGAAATCTATGCATAATTATCCCTAAGTAATGTTGTCAAATTGTTATCTATGCGGATACGTCTGTACGTTCCTACACCGCTGGATGTCTTTGTGTGACTTTGTCAACCTATACGCTGTCAGATCCTGTGATTACAGACAATTTAA